AGGCGCCAGCGCCCTGGATCCGCCGGCCGTGGTCGCGGAGTCGGTGTCGTCCCTGACCATCGCTGAAGCGTTCATCGCAGCCGGCGAAAGCTCAGCTCCGACCCCGCCGCGCCCCGCGCTTCCCAGGAGGTTCATCTGCTCCTTCCCCGACTGCAGCGCCAATTACAGCAAGGCCTGGAAGCTTGACGCGCACCTGTGCAAGCACACGGGGGAGGTGAGGGGGGCGAGGCGGCCAACCCTGAACCTAGGGATGGCGGTGGCTCGCCAGTGGGCTTTGCCCAGCGGCCTGGGAAGGGCGCGTGGCCCCCCGGCAGCCACTGCAGTCATGGCCAGGGCCTCAGGCCCCGCTGTGCCGGGCGTTCAGCTTTGACATCCTGGACTTGGGGAAGGAGCTGAGGAAGTAGACAAGAAGTTCTAGAACCTTTGTTCTGCGACCTTGGCTTGGGGCTAAGCAATCATTTCCCCTTCTTTGATCGTGAGTCTCGGCCAGCCAAGTGCCTCTGGTAATCTGCAAATAAGTGCGAGGTTTGAGGGGGCCCACCACTACTAGACACCTGCCAAATACTGGCCCCTGGAGTTGGTACAGAAGATGGGTTACGTGTACCGGGGGTCGTGAAAGCAGCATGTGCTCCTTTCTTCATAACTCCACACTGGAGAGAGCAGTGAGCAATACAGGCAAACCCAGGGTTTCTGCTGCCATGGGCCTTCGTTCCTGGGTCGAGCCGACCAGAGGATAGGTGGGAATGACTTGCAGTGTTGCGGTCAGGAAAGGCCTCTGTGTGTGAGCCGAATAAGAAGGATCTAGCTATGCAGACATTTGAGTTGGGCAGAGAGAACGCAAAGGGAGCCTGTGGCCCTCGGGGTGGGAGGCAGGTGGGTGTGTTTAGGTGCGGAGATCACGATATGAGTTCTGAGAAGTAGGTCTAATAGGAGTTTGGATTTTATTTTGAGGGCAGGAGAATGTCAGATACCATGATATGACGTGGCAGCCCATGTCACACACAGGTGAGGAAAACGAGGGTCATGGAGGTCAAGGAATCTGCCCATCTTCCCAGTTTTTGGCAGAGCTGGGCTTCACACTGCCTCAGCTTAAGGCTCTTAATTTTAAACCACTGGGCTGCAGTCCATACCTTTGACCCTTGCACCTCCTCTAATTTATGGGCCACCTCCTCCAGGTGTCCTCATGGGCCTCATTCCTTACCCTCTCCAGCACTGGAAGGTGGACGGCTTCCTACTTGAGACCTTCTCTGGTTCTTTTCCTGTTCCTCGTCTGCCCTTTTCATTGGATCCTCTTCTGCCCTCTGCATTTCCACCCCACCCACTCCCTCTTGCAGTCTTATGTAGCCACTGGCATCACTCATAACATCCTTTATGCTTTGCTCCTCTGCCGTTCTTCTTGCCCGTTCTAGTCTCTCAATTCTGGGCTCTGTATTACCAGTAGATCCAAATAAGAGCTTGCCTTTCCTTTTAGACCTGTGTGCTGTATTTTGGATACTGGCACTACCAGTTTCCTTAATACAGGTTGAAAAACTTGGAGTCATCTTTGTTGTCCCAAATCTCTCATGTAAGTTAATTTGACAAATGTTTATTGAGCCTACTCCACGCCTGCCACTGCAAGGTTCTGTGGCTCTGCCCCTGGTGATACAGCTCACTGTGTACCTGTTTGCTCGCTTTGCTCCTAGTACTCTTATGGAGGCCTGGGTGCCTCCCTCCTGGACACCTTGGTGGTACGCTTTTCATAGTTAGATGCACCAAACTGGTTATTTGGGTGTGTGTTTGGCTTTTACTGTGGATTCAAAATGAGTCACCCCCTCCCAACCCCTGAATCACAACAGGTGGTTGCATTTAGGGTGTTGAGCTGTTTGCTTCGCCCGGGCACCTGTGAGCTTTTTCAGGTGTGACACACTTTCCTATAGCTGTGCTTGGCATTCTCTTAGCACAGACACTGGGCTTGTCTGGGATGAGACAGGCCTCCCTCATTCCTCTGCCCTAGGCTTGCTTTTTACATGTTAAATCATGCGGCAGTGGGCATCTGTGCAGACAAGCCATGCCAACAGCCAGGGCATCTTTAAGATGCCCTGTGAAAGCCTGCTGCCAGGTTGGGAGCAGGTTAAAAATGCTATGCCTGCTTATTTTAAATGCTGTTCATAGAACAAAAATCTGTGTAGTGACTTTGTGAGAAGCTGTGGCGTTTATGTTGTGTAACTTCATGCAGGAACGCGGTGTCTTGCAGCAGGTGCACAGCTCTGATGAGTAGAAACCACCTCTGCATAGGAAGCCTGTGGCCTTAACACTAGGCAGTTTAAGCTTTTAAATAATACCAGAGTTACTAACTAGTGCAGGAGTGACATGCTTTTTCCTTTTTCCTGCTAGAGACCATTTGTTTGTGACTATGAAGGGTGTGGCAAGGCCTTCATCAGGGACTACCATCTGAGCCGCCACATTCTGACTCACACTGGAGAAAAGCCGTTTGTGTAAGTAGAGACCTGGTTTTACGCTTTGAAGTGGGCTGTGTTGGGCATATAGACCTGGTAAGAAGATTGTTAACTCATGAGATCAGGAATGTGAAGCCTGGCAGGGTGCGGTGGCTCATGCCTGTAATCCCAGCACTTTGGGAGGCGGAGATGGGCAGATCACTTGAACGCAGGAGTTTGAGACAAACCTGGGCAACATGGCGAAACCCCGTATCTACAAAAGTACAAAAATTAGTCAGGGGTGGTTTGTGGCCTGTAATCTTAGCAGCTAAAATGCTCATGAGTGAGGACAAGTTAAAAGTGTATCAACACAATGGGATACCCTACAGCCAGGAAAATGAATGCAGATGCTCTCTGCAAAGCCATGAGAAAATCACCAGGGCACTTTAATTGAAAACCCAAGGTGCAGAAGAGTCCTCCGTAGCCTACCTTTATGTGTGTAAAAAAGCTAGGGGGTGGAGGGAGGGGTGAGTAGTGGGTGTTGGGTAGGCAGGAAGCAACTATATTTGTATTTGTTCTTATTTGTAGTCTTAAAAGTTACATAACAAAAGTAAAAATGTCATCTGTTTTGGCAGCAGTGGGGGGTCCTGGCCAAGTAGGGGGTGGATATGGTAGGAAATGCCATGCAACCGGCAACTACTGGACAGTGACTCTTCCAGCTTGTGCTCTAGCCCAGACCGTGCCCCTCTTTAGCTGTAGATCCCGTTTCCCACTGCTCGGGACAGCGCTACTTGGCTGTCTCTGTGTCTTCTTAAATTTCATGTGGTAGGCTAGGTGTGGTGGCGCAAGCCTGTAATCCTATCACTTTGAGAGGCTGAGGTGGGAGGATTGCTTTGAGGCCAAGAGTTCAGGCTAGGCAAGATGGTCAGGTCAATCTCTATTAAAAAAATAAAAAATTCCATGTGGCCCAAATTTGTCACAGTCAAACTGAACTCACTTTTCTCTTTGATCTTCTCTCATGGTCTTGTCTGGAGAGGTGGCCTCGCTGTCTGTCCAGTGACCCATAGCAAAGATAAGGCAGCTCCCTGAACTCTCCATTCTTTCTGCCATCCCTTGCAACAGGTGGGTTGCCAGGTCGTGTAACTGACCTGTCAGATCCAGCAGCCACCGTCTTATCTCGGTCCCTTCCTTTGTCTGTAGGCCAGCCCTCTCCCCCAGTGCCCTCCCGTGCGCTTCCCTTAAAGCTGTGCAGTGCTTTCAAGCACGGCCTACATATGAAGTCCAGGTTCCAAGTGTGTCCTACAGTGACCTGTGTGATTTGGCCCTTTTTGCTTCTCTTGCCCCATTTGCTTGACTTGCAGGCATGAAGTTGTGGTCCAGCTCTGCTAACTAACCAGCCCTCTCTCCAAGTGTGCCGGGGTCTCTCACGCCCATTTGGTTCCTGTCAGGACTCTTCCCCGCCTGTCCTCCTGCCCCACACTCGGTTGGGTTAGATGCCTGTGTCAGGTTTAGAGTGAAGAATGGCAAGAAACCCAGCATAAGAGACGCTTAAACAAGATGGGCTTTTTGTCTTGTGTGACTGAAATACAGAAATACAGAGGCAGGAGCTCTGGAGCCCCTTCTAACTGGTCTCTGCCATCTTCATCTTGGGTTTCAACCTCACTGTGCTATCTGTTAGGGCCCAGCTGTTGCATAAGCATGCCGCGGGCAGGAAGGAGGAAAGGACGTAAGAGGCACGGCCCCCCCCTTATTTAGAGAGGTGGGCTGGACTTAGCCATGAGCCGCCCTAATTGCAGGGGAGGCCGGAGAGCGCGCTTACTGTTGGCTGCCTGCCCAGCTAACACTCAGCATTCTGTCCCTGCAGTTAGTGGGGGCTTCTAGGGTCTCTCCCATTTGTGGGCCTCTGCGCTGTGCCTCCCATGGTCACTGCTGGCTTGTCTCTAGGAATGGGACAGTGCCTGCCCTAGGGTTATCAGTGAGTGATGGCTAAGATTGATGCTGGGAAGGGAAGTCCTGCTTCATCCCTCAAGCTTACAAAGGCTCATCACAAGAGGCACAAATTTTCTTTTGGGGAAAAAAAAAAAAAAAAGGCTTTGCAGGGACTTAGATCATTCGAAGCCAAGATACCAAGATAAGAACTAGAATGGCTTGATAAGCCAGGGAACGTAATGGTTCTGGTTCTGCTCTAAGTATCTGTTTCACCTCTAACGATAAGCCAAGACAAGTTTTATTGAGGCCTTTCTGGAAATGCAGTTTATAATGACATCTCAAGCAGCATTAAGGTTGTCAGATTCTAAGCTGAGAATAATTTATCTTAAGCATGATTTAGGCCTGGTGTAGGCTTTTGCCCAGTGTGTATAAAAGATGACTGATGTAGTGTGTATAATTTCAGAGGCCTAATATGAAAAAGCCTCTTGTTACATGATAGTCATCAGGGTGAAAGGTCTATGTGGTATGGCTTAACACTCTGGAATTTGCTAAGACTATTTTATAGTATTACTGTTCTTTGGAATAATTCGCTTTTATAAAGCAGGAGGCTATGTGTGTCTTAACACTTCTTTTCCCTTGGTTTATTAATATTTTGGTTTATACAACTTCTTACAGTTGTGCAGCTAATGGCTGTGGTCAAAAATTCAACACAAAATCAAACTTGAAGAAACATTTTGAACGCAAACATGAAAATCAACAAAAACAATATATAGTAAGTATGATTTTATATGCTTAAATTTATTTTTACACTTACTGCCTGTGTTGCTGACATTTTCAGCCAGGTGCGGTGGCTCAAGCCTATAATCATAGCTTGAGGCCAGGAAATTGAGACCAGCCTGGGAAACAGTGAAATGCTGTCTCTGAAAAAAAACAAAAACAGAAAACAAAACAAAAAATTTTGGGGTAACAGAGAGATACCCTGTCTCTAAAAAATAAAAGTGAAAAACACAGTTTTCGTTAACTAAATTTTGTGTCAAATGTCTGAATTTACTTAATGCCATCATAATGATAAAGGCTTTATTTTGGAAGCAAACATTGTACAAATTAAAGTGTACTGGGAGACTAGTCCAATGGAAACATTTTTCCTTTTTCAAATGTCATATGGTTCTTCAAATCTTTTTGAGATAAAGCAGAATTTTACAGTAACAAAAAGGGTGAAAGTAACAATTATATAATCTCCAAAATAGTTTTATCTTGAGGATTCTGTTATGAACTGTTGATTTTTTTTGACTTTCCATAAGACTAACGAGCCTTTACAATTTAAAATTAACAGTGCAGTTTTGAAGACTGTAGGAAGGCCTTTAAGAAACATCAGCAGCTGAAAATCCATCAGTGCCAGCATACCAGTGAACCTCTGTTCAAGTAGGTACTTCACGTGGCTGAAAATCCCTTGGATTCTAGGTGTGAATAAGATTGGAAATGCAAGGGTGGTGTTGAGCATTGTTTCATGTTTTTTGGCTATTTATGTATCTTTTGAGAAATGTCTGTTCATATCCTTTGCCCACTTTTTGATGGATTATTTGTTTCTCTTGCTGATTTGAGTTCTCTGTAGATTCTGGATATACGTTCTTACTGGATGCATAATGTGCCAATATTTTCTCCCACTCTGTGGTTGTCTGTTTACTCTGCTGATTATTTCTTTTGCAGTGCAGAAGCTTTTGAGTTTAATTAGGTCCCATTTATTTCTATTTTTGTTGCATTTGCTGTCAGGGTGTTAGTAAGAATTCTTTGCCTAGGCTGACGTCCAGAGGAGTTTTTTCCAATGTTTTTTCTTGAATTATATTTATGGTTTCAGGTCATAAATTTAATTTCAGCTGATTTTTGTGTAAGGTGAGAGATAGGGACCCAGTTTTTCCAGCACCATTTATTGAATAGGGAGTCCTTTCCCCAGTTTGTTTTTATATGCTTTGTTCAAGATCAGCTGGCTGTAAGCATTTGGCTTTATTTCTGGGTTTTCTATTTTGTTCCATTGGTCTAAGTGCCTATTTTTATACCAGTACCACCCTGTTTTGGTAACTGTAGCCTCGTAGTATAATCTGAAGTCTAGTCAAAGGAAAAGAAGTCACTATATGAAAAAGATACATGCACATACGTTTATAGCAGCACAGTTCACAACTGCAAACACATGGAGCCAATTTAAGTGCCCACTGACCAATGAGTAAAGAAAATGTGGTGTGTATACACCATAGAATACTACACAGCCATAAAAGGGAACGAAACGATGTCTTTTGCAGCAGCTTGGATGGAGCTGGAGGCCATTATTCTCAGTGAAGTCGCTCAGGAATGGAAAACCAAATACCATAGTTTTCACCAAGTGGGTGCTAAGCTATGAGCCCAAAAAGACATAGAGTGATTTAATGCACTTTGGGGATTTGGAGTGGGGAGTTCGGGGAGGGGGTGAAGGATGAAAGACTACACGCTGGGTACAGTGTATGCTGCTTGAGGGACTGGTGCACTAAAATCTCAGCACCACTATAGGGTTTATCCATGTAATGAAAAAACACCTGTAACCCGAAAAGCCATTGACATTTAAAGCAACAGTGGGACAAATCTTCTGAAAGCTTCCTAATCAACATTTTTCTGTTAATATGTACTGCATATGTACATTTACATATTGGGAGCATTTTAAAGGTTTACTTTGCTCTGAAAGAAATATTTAATGTGTTTGAAAATAATTTTTGAGATTATTCTAGCTGTGGTTAAGCTTAAAGGCTGTGAAATTACTTAACTATTCAAATAGAGCCTGTGCAACTATATGAAATGTCATTATGGAGACATTCATTATGCTTTTCCTGTAGAACAAAACAAGTAATTGGGTTTATCTGCAGTTAGGGTTTTTTGAGGAACATGAGGGTGGCTGCACAAGTTGGGTAGACCTGCAAAAGGGCCAGCGGCTCTCTGCATGGCTCTGGCCATCTGGCACTTTCCCTCAGCTTGCACAGGCTGCCTTGTGCCTTGGAGTTGCTGCAGTGACCCTGCTTCTCCTTGCTTGTGGGTCTGCTGCTGCTTTGCTGCTGATAGCTTTAGCACAGAGGGGGCACGTGCTTTTTATTGCTCACCAGAGGCAGATGCATCTACCGCTGTGCTCTCTTGCACACCCCCTGTGCACCATCATTAGGAAAGCTAGTCACAAGTGATTCAGAATGGCGTAGGGGTTTACCTAAGCCAAGTCCGATAACCTCTCGAAGTATCTTTTTGTAGCCATGAAAGCAGAGTGTATTGTCGGAGGTATAAAGATGAAAACTGTTTAAATGGGTTAAAAAAAGTAACGTGACTTTTTTCTCCAACAGTTTGTTTTGCCCTAAAGCTGGTCAAGTAACTTGAATCTCACTGGTGATGAGGTCTACATTTTAACGTGGGTTTGGTTATGGGAAGAGGAGAGACTTCGGTGGGAGAAACAGGACAAAGCGCCATTGACCCTGAGTGGAGTGCTCTGTGAAAATGGATTGGCTAATACCTCATGTGTTGCCAATGCAGGTGTACCCAGGAAGGATGTGGGAAACACTTTGCATCACCCAGCAAGCTGAAACGACACGCCAAGACCCACGAGGGTGTGTACGGACAGCCTGGGTGTGCTCCTCTGAGGGGGATGCCAAATCCTGGGTGCCTTTGAATCTGTTCCGTGATCAGGCTGACAAGAAGGGAACTCTGTGGGCAGGGGACACCATCCTGCTTATTTGGGTCTTACATTCTTGTCCAAAGAGGCACTGTATGTCTGTTTTTCCACTACCATGTCATTGCTGTTCACATGTAATGTGTTGTTTGTTCACAAGTGCCTGGGTACACGTTACACTGACGAATGTGCTGATGAGAGGGAAAGGCATCCTTCCTGTGAAGTCTGCCTATTCCATGATCATGCTGAGAAGATGGGAACTCTGTGAAGTTTGCTTCACAGGAAGGTGAAATCCTTAGAGGGAGGCACCTTGCTGTGCTACTGTTCAGTTTTACTATAATGTAAATCTTTTTTAGTTTTTATTCCCACCTCAGGAGGCTGAGTTGAATACTATTAGGAGGGGAATAGAAAATTATATAGGCACCTAAGTTTTCTTTGTAGTTATGGTCAGTGTTTACACTGAATATTCATGACAGACAATGCACCAATTTTTTTACATAGGCTATGTATGTCAAAAAGGATGTTCCTTTGTGGCAAAAACATGGACAGAACTTCTGAAACATGTGAGAGAAACGCATAAAGGTAAGGCAGGCATGAATGGCAGGCATGGTGTAAATGTTTGTCCCCACAGAACTCGTTTTGTGCTTTTCAAGAGTGAAATGCTGTGCGCTTTAAAGTAAAAGGGTTTGTATATGATATTTTGTGAAGTGCTGGGTATGATGTTGGAAAGGGGAGCAGAGCTGTGCTAGGTCTCTGAGCCATCCCCTCCATGCAAAATTAGCATGCTGAAGGCGGTGGCAGGTGTGTAGTGAAGAATTTCGGGAGGCACTGCTGTTCTGTGGGACAGCCTGGTAAATAGTACCCAGCACACTGGGGGACAAGGACGGACACCGTTTGGTCTGCTTCATGTTCTGTACCTCCCCGCAGTCACCTTCCTGAGAGCCCTGCCTTTTGGCAAGTGAGCAATGACTTTGTGGCATTTAAGAACTTCAGAGAGTTGAGACAAACTTCCTAGGTGATAAGAACAGGGGTTCCTTGGGAATTTCTGATTTGTATTTGCAAATCAGATTGTATTTGCAGGCACTGAATGTTACTTATGTATTAATTTTTTCTAAATGGTGGTATCTGGGGAAATTGGTGAAATTTGTCTGTCTGTCCCCCCAGAGGAAATACTATGTGAAGTATGCCAGAAAACATTTAAACGCAAAGATTACCTTAAGCAACACATGAAAACTCATGCCCCAGAGAGGGAGGTATGTCGCTGTCCAAGAGAAGGCTGTGGAAGAACCTACACAACTGTATTTAATCTCCAAAGCCATATCCTCTCCTTCCACGAGGAAAGGCGCCCTTTTGTGTGTGAACACGCTGGCTGTGGCAAAACATTTGCAATGAAAGTAAGCACTCACCCTCACAGTCGCGGTCCTGTAGTCTATGCGTTCACAACACAGTTTTCATATTAATATCTCATTAATAACTTTCTTTCATTTTAGCAAAGTCTCACTAGGCATGCTGTTGTACATGATCCTGACAAGAAGAAAATGAAGCTCAAAGTAAGTTGAAACTACTTAGGCAGCTTACTTTTCAAACAGAAATTGTTTAAAGCCAGAAGGAGTCTGGAATTCTTTTCAGCTGCTTTACTGTGTGAGTCTGCACGACTGCTGAAGACGTGACTTCCTCATAAAGCAGTGTTGTATACTATACCTGCTGGTACATATGACTGTCGCAAAATTAACTCAGATAATTTTGATTTTGAATTCTAATCGTGTGTCTTCCTTATTCCCAAAGGTCAAAAAATCTCGTGAAAAACGGAGTTTGGCCTCTCGTCTCAGTGGATATATCCCTCCCAAAAGGAAACAAGGGCAAGGCTTATCTTTGTGTCAAAACGGAGAGTCACCCAACTGTGTGGAAGACAAGGTGCTCTCGACGGTTGCAGTACTTACCCTCAGCTAAGAACTGCACTGCTTTGTTTCAAGGACGGTAGACGAAGGAGCTTACTTTCTCTCAGAGCATGCTTTTCTTTATTAAAATTACTGATGCAGAATATTTGATTCCTTATCATTTCCTTGGTCTTGGTTCAAAGTGTCGCTTTTCTGGGTCTTTTGAGTTTCTCCATATGCCTTCTCTTCATTTTTGCTTAAAGGACGAAGAACACACATTAAAGCTTTTCCTCCTTGAACAGCTTGTGGCCTAGATAAGAATGTAGCCATTCCAGGCATAGTCTGGAGTATTTGATGAAATATCTCCTCCTAAAAAAGGGAAACAGCCAGAGATTAATTTAAAATCAGAGGCTTTGTTGCCTTCTAGTGTTCTGCTCGAACATTCACAAAAACCGGCACCCTTGAATTGCTGCTGTCGGATAAGTGATTAGCTAATGAGTTCATATATATCTGGTTAGGCTGACTGAAATCTGTACAATAACACCATGTAACTAAACTGACATGCTGAATGCTTCCTAATTTTAAATCTCCACTTTGTCATGGCACTAAGAGGCTCCGTTTCGCTTAGATTACCCTCTCCCCCAAACAGAAAGCACTGGGTTTGGGCATTGGCAAAATACCTCCTCATCCCCAAGATGTCAGCCGAGCAGTTCTCAGCACTCTCTACTTCCCCTAACGGAGTGACTCTCAGTGGCTGAAACAAATGGATACCTGGACTCAAGAAAGTCTGAATCAGCTGGGTTGGGACCTATGCTAAGTGACTCTACTGTGGAGCTGGATTACTAAGGATGCCCTTAGTGGATGCTAAAGTTATCTAACTTAAAAAAAAAAAAGCAAAACAGGTATTCCATACACTTCCGGGATTGGAAACTAGACACTTTCTAGAAGACAGTCTACATAATTAATGCCCCTCATAAGTGCAAAGAGGAAACAAAAGATCAACCTGTAAAGTTTCTAATTTTCCTGTTTAAGGGTTATTCTACAATGTATAAAACAATAGTATATTGCTTTTAAAGTATGAAACGTTTTTATATGGCTAAATACACTGTAATGGAAGCTATATCTACAGTATGCTTAGTTTTGAAAAGCAAACTAGAAAGCTGTTAACATCATTGGGTGGAAGAATTACCAGTCACTTTGTCTTTATATTTCAGATTTTCTACATTTTTTTTTTTTTTTTTGAGACGGAGTCTCGCTCTGTCGCCCAGGCTGGAGTGCAGTGGCCGGATCTCAGCTCACTGCAAGCTCTGCCTCCCAGGTTTACGCCATTCTCCTGTCTCAGCCTCCCGAGTAGCTGGGACCACAGGCGCCCGCCACCTCGCCCGGCTGATTTTTTGTATTTTTAAGTAGAGACGGGGTTTCACCGTGTTAGCCAGGATGGTCTCGATCTCCTGACCTCGTGATCCACCCATCTCGGCCTCCCAAAGTGCTGGGATTACAGGCTTGAGCCACCGCGCCCGGCCGTAATTTTTTTTTTGAGACGGAGTCTCGCTCTGTCGCCCAGGCTGGAGTGAGTGGCACGATCTCGGCTCACTGCAAGCTCCGCCTCCCGGGTTTACGCCATTCTCCCGCCTCAGCCTCCCGAGTAGCTGGGACTACAGGCGCCTGCCACCATGCCCAGCTAATTTTTTTTGTATTTTGAATAGAGACGGGGTTTCACCATGTTAGCCAGGATGGTCTTGATCTCCTGACCTCGTGATTCACCCGCCTCAGCGTCCCAAAGTGCTGGGACTACAGGCGTGAGCACTGCGCCCGGCCTACAATTGTATTTTTAGATCAGAAGACCAAAAGCACAAGCAATGGCTTGTACCTTCTTTACTTACCATTTTATTTTCTGACACGTCTACATTTTTTCCTTTCTTTATAGTAATCCGGACTTGGCGTTCTTTCTTAATCCACTGTTGAATCTGTTTAGTCTTTGTGTCCAAATCATGTTGTCCAATATTTGAAGAAAAAGTCAGTTCCTTTGTCAGGGTTGGTCCTAGTTTGAAACAGGGTGCAAGGACTACTGACTAGTCCACTGTGAACCCTGAACTTCCCAACATGCCCATCATAAAATCTTAGGTTGCCACCTGACAGTCTTCTCGTCTGGCTTTCAGTTTCACACACCAGTACGTCTTTTCAAATGGGGGAGATAAACATAAAGGTACCAATTTTTTACCTGCCCTGGAAGGGTACTTAAAATCTGAAATGCTTCCATTTATTGTTAACCATCATTTGTTGAAAGAACACCAAAAGACAGTCATTTAAAGGATTAAGTTTGGCTTTATGGTACACTTAATATCCTCATCTTTCAGCTATGGGTTGGCATCTGGGAGTGCTCTACCCACTCCTTTTGAGATGCTCTCCTTGCTACTAAGGGGTCAGCCAGACTGTTGGACAGGTAAGGGTCCCTACGTCCTGTGTTCATGCCCTCTGTCTCCAGAAATCCTGCCTACTGGAAAATTACAGAGAAGGAACAGGCTACTCAATAAAGGTGTTGGGACGTTTGAGAAGTTTATAGATGACAAAAAGTTAGGTCTCCTCAGATGTACTAATGTTCTACAGGTGAAAAATACAACTTTAAAACAAATAGAAGAAAAGATAAAATGGTTTGTGATCTCAGGATAGGGAAGGAATTCATTAGGAAAGAAAGGCAAAAAGTGAAAAATCTAACTGGGATAAAGTTTTTTTTGTCATACACAACAAAGAACCCTGTAAATCAGGAAGAAAAACCATCTATATAGAAAAATGAATACAAACAGGCATTCACAGAAGAGAAAAAATAGTGAAATACACATTAATTTCTCACCATTAAAATGACAAAAACTAGAGTCTGACAGAATGAGGGAGGAGGTAGAGAAATTGCATACACTGCTGCTGACAGCAGTTTGATGCATTTAGGCTCACAGACCCTAGAGCATGCACCAGCGTTCATAAAGATTGGGGGCCAGATGTGCTGGCTCACGCCTGTAATCCCAGCACTTCGGGAGGCTAAGGTGGGCAGATCGTTAGAGCTCAGGAGTTCAAGACCTGAGCAACATAGCAAGACCCCGTCTCTACAAAAAATAAAAAAGCCAGGGATGGTGGTGTGTGCCTGTGGTCCCAGCTGCGTGGGAGGTGGAGGTGGGAGGATTGCTGGATCCCAGGAGATGGAGGCTGCAGTGAGCCGAAATCACACCACTGCACTCCAGTTTGGGTAACAGAGCGAGACCCTGTTTTTTTTTTGTTTTTTTTTTTTTTTTTAACACAGGGTCTCACTCTGTCACCTAGGCTGAAGTGCAGTGGTGTGATCATGGTTCTTCACTGCAGCCTTCGCCTCCCGGGCTCAAGTGATCCTCCCACCTCAGCCTCCCGAGTAGCTGGGATCACAGGTTTGCACCACCACACCTGGCTAATTTTTAAAATTTTTTGTAGAGATAGGGTTTTACTATATTGCCCAGGCTGGTATTGAACTCCTGAGCTCAAGCTATCCACCTGCCTTGGCCTGCCAAAGTGCTGGGATTACAGGCCTGAGCCAACATGCCCAGTGCCTTTTTTTTTTTTTTTTTAAAGTGACATAGTTTGATGTCCTTATTCTCCCTAGTTGGTCTCTTCTGAATATTTTTTTGTTTTCCAGTTAACGTCCTTGTTAAATGTGGTGTTACAAAACTGAGCTGCAGATAACGTGATTTTCTGAAGGCACACAACCTCACGATGCAGTCCTGGGAGCAGTCATCTGACACCTGTCCCCGTGCGCCATCCACTGAACTTTCATAATGATTAGCACTTTTTAGGAACTATGAAAAACAAATATCTTTGCTTAATATCCAATTCATGACTTCTGTGAGGCTTAAATGGCAAGTGCCTTGTGAAGTGACTGGTTGTATATATAAAAGAGTGTTGCTACTGACACTGTAACAAAACGCTTTGGCATGGGAGATGCTCTGTGAATCACTTTAGAGTTTAAAAAGTACTTCCAGGCTGGGCGCGGTGGCTCACGCCTGTAACTCCAGCACTTTGGGAGGCTGAGGCGGGTGGATCACTTGAGGCCAGGAGTTCAAGACCAGCCTGGCCAACATGGTGAAACCCCCGTCTCTCTTAAACTTTGGGAGGCTGAGGCGGGTGGATCACTTGAGGCCAGGAGTTCAAGACCAGCCTGGCCAACATGGTGAAACCCCCGTCTCTCTTAAAAGTACAAAAATTAGCCAGGCGTGGTGGCGGGCACCTGTAATCCCAGCCACTGGGGAGGCTGAGGCAGGAGAATTGCTTGAGCCTGGGAGGTGGAGGTTGCAGTGAGCACACATCGCACCACTGAACTCCAGCCTGGGCGGGAGGCAGAGACTCCGTCTCAAAAAAAATAAAAAGGTGCTTCCAGATAATTAACCAAACACCTCCACTTTAGAGATGAAGAAGGGGAAGAAAACTAAGTGACTGGCCTGGCAGAGGGCAGAAGACAGGAAACTTGAACATACCCCTCCCAATCTCATTCTGTTTCACCCATCAGCTACTCAGCTTGCCGCAGCACTGGGAGGCGGCCACAGGATGGGAGAAAGAGTTCTCTTCACTTTGGTCTGTCTGCCTGCTTTCTCCTACATTTTACACAGGTTTAAAGGGAAGAGACAATGGGCAGCGTATTATGGAATAATGCAACAGAAGTTAAGTGCAGGAAGGAGGACAGACAGACACTAGGAATGGTGGTGGAATCGTGAATTTTCCAGTTTCTCATTTCCCTATTGTCACAGGCACCTTGACAAATGCTAGAATTTAAACTGCTGATTTGTAGCCCTTAAAGGATTCAGGGAGCCAACAGCAAAATACCTACCAGTTTTGGGGCTAGCCTTCTTCATCTCCCTCAGCCTCTGCCGCTCCTGGAGGATCTGCATTCCTGTCATGAGCTGGTACTCTGCAGGCTCTGTGCTGGCATTCCTTTGAACCAGTCGCAGGTCTCGCTCATCCATAAGTCTAATCACATCTGCTCGGTGCATGTTTCCCATATCATTGCCCTTCTCATCAAATAAGTGAATAATTCGCTGACTGATTTTTCTTCCAATGTTACCAAAAGCTGTTTGACTCTTTTTTTTCTTTTTCCCTTCATTCTGGGTGTCTTCAACGGTACTAAAGGCTTCTGCATGAATTAGGAAGGAGAGTCTCGGGGCAGAAGCAATAGGGAACGACTGTGCTGGTGCTGTCTTTTGCACGATGTGTTTACCAAAACATCTGACGCAACTATTTTCAAACTTTACAGTTTGTAGTGTTAATCTCTTTAGAAAAAGAGCAGCCATCCTAAGAACATAGTAAGAAGAGTTCATTAAAATTCAATCACTTATTCCCTCGGTCTGACATTGTGGTACACGGCAGGGCATGTGTGAGGCTGTGGAGGCTGTAATTGCAAGTGTGAAGGAAACTGCTGTTCTCTAGACTTTCAGATCCACACACAGGAAGTCTACACTGATGAAGTGGACTAGCAGGTGACTCTGGCCAGACTCACTCACTCATGGTGGTACTGTCCCCAAGACAAGCGGCGATAGAATAAACCGGATTTGCATAGCACTTTCACTTTTTTTTTTTTTCCCCTGTACCCATGATCTCATTTGACTACTTAGTTGGCCCCTGAACAACTTGGGAGTTAGGGAAACAGACTCCCAGTGCAGTTGAAAATCTGTGTATAACTCTGACTCCTCAAAAACTTAAAATAGCCTGCTGCTGACTGAAAGCCTTATGAATAACATAAGCAGTTGATGAACACATATTTTGTATGCCATGCGTATTATATGCTGTATTCTTACAACAGAGCAAGCTAGAGAAAAGAAATGTCATTAAAATCATGAAGAAGAGAAAATATATTTACTATTCATAAAGTGAACATGGATCACCATAAAGGTCTTCATCCTCATTGTCTTCACATCGAGCAGGCTGAGGAGGAGGAACAAGGGGAGGGGTTGGTCTTGCTCTCTCAGAGGTGGCAGAGGCAGAGGAAAATCCACATATATGTGGACCCCATGCAGTTCAAACCTGTGTTGTTCCAGGGTCAACTGTATTTCTCATGCATCTTGTAGTGCCAACTCCAAAAGCAAATATCATCTTAGGGGTTTATTTATGAGGATGCAGTACATAATATGCTTGGTGATTCATAAACACCAATTGATAAACTTTTAATATAATGAACTGTTAACAATTTTTCAATACATCTGATGATATATAGCAGATAGGAACACATTATGGGAAAGGGACCTCTCCAGGAAGGAAGCCAGCCCACTGCAAGAATAACTGAGACTGTCGGAAAACACTGTGACATAAATCAAAGTGCTGACTGACCTCATAAACTATAAAGATCATTCTCAAGGTAAGGCAGGTATTATTACCAAATGTTAACAGAGGCATGTATGGTGACAGTGCTTTTACTTCATTTCTATGAGACTGAATTTGAAGCACTTACAAATCGCACATTGATTTTTTAATTGCTTTTCTGTCCTTCCATTCGTGCATTTGCTAAATCTTAGAAGTACAGGCTGAAAGAGTGCCGAGAGGACCCATTAATCTCATCTAGGGCATGCTAGGAATCATTAGAGAATCACAAACTCCGAGAGGTGTGACTTGTCAAGATGAAAGAGGAAAACAGAAGGTGTCTTCGGGGTGTTTCTCAAAGAATGGTCCCAGAATCTCCTGGGGTGTTTAAAACTGGAGGTTCCCTCTGGTCCCTGGCTTTGAGCCCACTGGGCTGTCCAACCCACAGATCTCTCACCCCTCGTGTTCAAGAGTGATATGCAAAAAATATGGCAAATTAAACAGAAAGTGATGGACGTGCATATTCTCAACACCCTCCTTACCTAGTATGGTAACACCCAACACTAATTTACAGCTCTGGTGCCAAGCTCTTCTCTGAGTTCCACACCTGTAGGGTTAACTGCCTACCCAACCTCTCCACTTAGATATGTAATAGTCATTGAGGATTAACGCATCCAAAGTTCAATGCTTCGTCTGCCACACAAAACTTGCTCCTCCCTCAGTCTTCCCTGTCTCATGTAATGGCAACACATTCTTCTGGTTGCTCAGGCCAAAAATACCAACGTTATCCTTGACTCTTTATTTTCTCTCAGCAACCCATCCCCAAAACCTACCGTTCAACCAGTATAACCACTTCTCACCTCCTCCACTGCTATCATCCCACTCCCAAACCGCTGCTCGACTGCAACACAGTAAAACTGTATCACAGTGACAGCTTCCTGACTGGTCTTCCTGCCTCTGCCCTCACGCCCTAGAGTTTATTACTGCCAGGGCACACGGAGCAATCCTTAAAAATGCGTAGGTCGGATCACGTTCCTCCTCTGCCCACAACCCTCCCCTAGCTAGTATCTCTCCAAGTAAAAGCCAAGCCCTCTACCATGCCCACTGGCCTGTGCCGACTGTGCTTCTTCTGGCTCACTCGGTTCCAGCCTCCTTGCTGTTCCTTGTAAACAGTGAACACACCCATCCTCTGAGTCCTGGCACCCAGAAATTCTCTCTCCCTGCAATACTCTTCCCTCAGACAGCCTCATGGCTCATTTACCTCGTCTCTGCTCAAATGCTACCTCTCAGCGAGTCCTTCCCTGACCCCTCCATAAAAGAGCAAACCCCAACACTCTCAAACCTATTCCCTTGCCTTTTAAAAACTTTACTGCATTTATCACTGCTGGACACATTATATATTTATTTGCATATACGTTCATCATCTTTCCTCACTGGAATGAAAGCTTCATGAGAATATGGACTTTGTCCATTTTGTTCACTGCTACGTTCCCCGGCACTACAGCCCAGAGCCTGGCTCAGCGTGTACATGTCGAACGAATGCATGGGCCAAAGGAAACAGCCAAGGAGCTACAGCGGGGCTGCTGGCATTTAACCTCCAAGCCTTCGGATCCATCACTCCCCGCCAATGCACACGAATGCCTGCAAGCTACACCCTTCACATTTCTAGCTGGCATTTCAGACACCCGTCAGTATTCGTGAGGATCTGTGGCCAGATGCTCCATCCACAGTGCATGACACGCATTGATTTATGGTTATTACCCAGCTGGCGGCTCCAGCTGTAGATGCGGTCAAGGCTCTAAGGTGGGAGCAAAGTGATTTTAAATCACTGACATACGGTTTCTTTTGTGAACGGAAGAAGCTTCCAAACCAAAAAAGAAGAAAAATCTGGAGAGATCAGACAAGAATTTTTTTTTCACTTATCATCAGAAAACCAGCAACAGCAGCCAGTCCCAAATGTCACCAGGGATTCTGTAGGGGACGCTTCAGTTCCTGCTCACAAGCCTGCTCTGTAAACTTTATGTCTAAAATCAGTGTTCTTTCTTTCCAAAGTCTGTATCAGCAAGAAGGATGTAGAAGTTACCACATGTAAAATCATGTTACTAAATAGATATATATAAATTTAAATAATCTTGATGTACACAGTAGATGAAACAGTCCACTGCAATGAAGCTTTAATACTAACTCAATATTGGCCATCTTTTTCCCTTAGTAATTATGAATAAAAGCTAAAGTGCCTTGTTTAATAAATTATCAACATAATAAAATAAAAAAAAATTTCAAAATGTAGGATTTTTTTCAAACAAGCAAACAAAATAACTAGATACAGGAAAAGATGGAAAAAAATTATAAAAATGTTGAAGACAAAAGCAATTCTTTGCCCTGTTTTTCCTAATTGCCAGTATTTCTCAAGTTTTTTATAAGTATTATTTTTATACTTGAAAATAAACTTTATTTATTTACAAAACAAAGACTATTTCAGAAAAATGATGTAGGTTTTTTTAAAAAAGCTTTAAAAACACTTTCCAAGAAGGAAACGAAGGAAAGGGAAAAAGCAGAAAAACACTGGAAGTATGTGACTTTTAAAGTCCTTTGCCATTAGTCAAATTTAATTTTAAACTTTTAAGAAGCTTCCATTTTTTTTGATGTCTACAGCAAACAATGCAATTCATTGCAATTAAGCTTTAATACTAACTCAATACTGGCTTTAAATCAACAAAATTGAAAATATACGTTTCTTCAAAATAGGCCCTTATAGATAAAAATATAAATACCAAGTTAAAACAACCTGTAACATTACATTTAAATTGCAGCTATCAACATAAATTCATAATTTAAAAACTTTTTATTAGGGAATCTTTCAACCTCGTACAGAAAGAACTGGATAATAAACAGCACCTGCGTTTCGTCTTTACCCCTCAACTATCTCCCCGCAGCCATCTAGGAAGACTTTCAAAGTAAATCCTACTTTTTCAGGAAATAGTATGTATCTCTAAGAGGTACTCCTTAATCTTTTTAATACTCACAATAACATTATCCCAATTAAAAAATGTTCCTTTATGTCGTCAAATATTTAGCTTTCAGATTTCCATGATAGTATTATTATTTTGTTTGTTTACATATCATTTACAGTTTGGCAGTATGAAGAGACTCCCACTGGTCAATTTTGGTGTAATTTAAACAGTAAGGCATAATTACTGTCATTCATGTCAACACACTGAATATGCAAAAATCTATGAAAATGATAATTTGCCACAACTGCATGGGACTATTATCTTGATTCTTTACTTTGAAAATTGGTAATTAAGTAAAAAGAACTAAGCATTTATCCTACCTTTTTAGGAAGAACTGTAATCACCCCCGATTGATGAGAAACAGCTCTTCTGTAGAGAAGAATGATAGCTAATAAACACAAAAGAAAAGCAAAAGTAATTAGAAAATCATGCCATGCACGATGTCTCACACCTGTAATTCCAGCACTTTGGGAGGCGAAGGCAAGAGGATCACTTAACGCCAGGAGTTTGAGACCAGCCCGGGCCACATAGCAAGACCCAGTCTCTACAAAAAATTAGCCGGATGTGTTGACACGCAGCTGTACTCCCAGCTACTGCTGAGGCTGAGGAAGGAGGTTCACTTGAGCCCAGGAGGTTGAGGCTGCAGTGAGCTCTGTTCACACCACTGCACTCCAGTCTGGACAACAGAGCAAGACCCTGTTTCCAAAAAAAAAAAAAAAAGAAAATCACCATTTTTCCAACCCCAGTGAAACCACGGATTCAGGCAGGGATGGATGCAAGAAAGCTGATGCCAAAGGGTCACCACAGATGACTTTCAGACTGAGAGGGAAAAGCATACTCTGCTGAGGAGACAGCTGTCTGTCATCCCAAGCAAACGTCAGACTCAGCATCTCCAACAGTGGGACAACCTGCCATCCTTGCCACATCTCCGGATGGGAAGCTACTGAAGTGCATGGCGCCTTCTATGAAGCAGCTTTGAAAAAAGGTTTGACCTGAACCTGATGCAGGGTCTAGCTTCCAGTTTCCAGGGGATACAAGGGCCAGACTCAGAGGAACAACAGAAGATGCCACAAGGAAACAATCTGACAAATCCAGATGGAACAAGACACCTGGTTAGTGTCTTAAAAAGCCAATGTCATTGGGAATGAAAAGGGAAGGGGAAAGCTATTCTTGAGTGGAAAAAAAAATCAAGGAGACATAATTATGCTGAAAAGACATGTTGGGGATGAGGGGAAAATCTGAATAGAGACTAGGTATTAGATACTATTAGAGACGTATTGTTAATTTTCTTTTTTTTGAGACAGGTTCTCACTCTGTCACCCAGACTGGAGTGCAGTGGGGCAATCTTGGCTCACTGCAACCTCTGCCTCCCAGGTTCAAGCGATTCTCCTGCCTCAGCTTCCCAAGTAGCTGGGAGTACAGGTGTGCACCACTACTGCCCAGCTAATTTTTGCATTTTTAGTAGAGATGGGGTTTTACCATGTTGGCCAGGCTGGTCTCGATCTCCTGACCGCAAATGATCCACCTGCCCTGGCCTCCCAAAGTGTTGGGATTACAGGCGTGAGCCAGGGCACCCAGCCTGTTAATTTTCTTAGGTGTGAAAATGGAATTCTTAAGAAACAAATGCTGAAGTATTGAGGATACTGTCATGACATCTATCACTTGCTTTGAAACCATTCAGCAGAAAAGATAAACAATGCACTTATGGCAGCATCTGCTGAATCTAGGTTATGGTTATATGGGTGTTCAATAATTAATACATTTTTAAAGAACAAATCAATAGCCTAGAGGGAGGAACGGTTCACTAGTAATGCCAATGTAACTATTCCAGTCTGTGTAAGTTCTAAATTTCACTGTAATTTAATACATTGGCATTCTGGCTTTGTACATAATTTTAAAAAATATTCCCTTTATTCGTTTCAAGCCTATATCTAAGTGACCCATAAATAAGGAATTTTATAAACTTAAAATTCTGATTTTTTGGTAATGCATACTGCCTTTATTTCTTCCTTTAGTTTTCCCTAAACTCAAGTGTAAAAGTCTTATCATAAAATGGTGATGGGGCAGGATGGGAGGAAGGCTGGCATAAAAAAAGTACACATTAGGTACAATGTACACAATTCGGGTGACGGTGCACTAAAGTCTCAGAATTCACCACTATATAATTCGTCCATGTAATGAAAAGCCATTTGCAGTCCAAAAGCTACTGAAATAAAAATTTTAGAAGAATAAAATAAATGGTGATGGTTTCAGTTTGAGGCAGAACTGGTACAATTTTTTGCTAGTGAACGGTTAAAAGTCAACTGGTCTACAATGGGGCGGTGTTTCTCAGAAACCAGGGCCTGTCCGCATCACCTGGGGATGCTTTTCAAAACACAGATGTTTCCTCTTCCCTATCCTGTTCAGAACTACTGGGTTAGGCCAAAAAAAAAAAAAAAAAGAAAAAGAAAAAAGAAAAAAAGATGAACTAAGAGTAAGAAAACACTACAACTGGGGTCAAGGATAGTTTGAGCTAGGATGCCTGAGACTGCCCCTAACCTTTCAAGGTTGATGAAAAATAGGAAGCCACGTTCTCTGATGAAAATCTCTGATGCCTCTGTGACGTAAACACTAGGCTGAATAGGTCGGGAGACTAACTCAAAATAGAAACAAACGCTTACATTCTCGTGATAATCCTGGTGCATCTGCTGCACTCACTCCCACAACTACACTCTCCGAGACATCCACAATATTCTAAAAGTCAATTATCTTAACGTCAATTACTTATAATGCATAACTTTATAGTATGATATCCATTTTTAATTCGATTACTCAGACTTTATCTGAGTTTTGACAAGTGCATACACCTTTGTAACCAAAACTCCTATCGACAAAACATCACCATCATCCCAGAAAGTTCCCTCTTGCCATTTCCATGTCGATCTCCATCCCCAAGAGGCAACTACTGTTCTGATCTTTTCCCATCACAGTCTGTCCTAAGACTTCATATAAACGGAATCAAACAGTATCTACTCTTCGTTGTAAGGCATCTCAGCATGTTTCGAGATTAATTCACGTTGTACGGATCATTACTTTGTTCCTTTTTATTTCTAAGAAGTGTCCTCCAAGTATATGAATATATCGCAGTTTTTAAATCTAGTTTTCTGTTAATGAACACCTAGGCTGTTCCCTTTTTTTTTTTTTGGCCCTTACGAATAGCTGCTGTGAACATTCTTGTACCAAAAAAGAAAAGACAATTATTACTGCTCCAAAGGACAGTTGTATTCCCTGTATTATTTTGCATTCCACTGGAAGTACTGATAAAATATTTGCAAGGAAACTTCCTGGAACATAATTTAAATATGTGGCTTAGGAGATACGAGGGGTGCGTGGGTGGGCATTCTTGTCCAATAAAAAATTAAATCACTTGCACGCATTTGAAATCATGTGGACTGAAGAGACGAAAATAACTTCTATTCTTTGTTCACTCACTGCTTTTCTCATACAGCTGATATTCACAAGCTCATACTGTTATCTGTTCTTTCCTGGGAGACTGGATCAAAGTTGCATAGACTCTAGCGGACTAAATATTTGTGAAATTAATTTTGCCAATTCTCACGACCCTAAGAACTCTTTTACACTTTCCAAAGAAGTTTCATAAAGTCCTTGTTTCTGCCTGCAAACTGTTCCAGTTGCCCCATTCTAGCCTGAGCTGTGCAGCCTTAATCCGAGAGGACCAGCACTACCTTACTGGGCCTTCATGCTGCCCTCCCTTGGCTCTGGTTTTGCTCTTCCATAGGAAGCACAAAGTGTACTCTCCATAATGAGGCTGAGCTGTTTACGTGCTAGAACTCCCACTCAGAACACTGGAAAAAGCCAACATATACCTTTGGCCAACTATTTAACCATATTTCTTTAGCTATTAAGTTGAAATAATAACTATATGTTTTTAAAAAGCTTTTAAACCCAGAGCTAAAGACTCAGCATGAAAAACTGGACTTATGGCCGGGCGCAGTGGCTCATGCCTGTAATCCCAGCACTTTGGGGAGGCTGAGGAGGGCAGATCACTTGAGGTCAAGGGTTCAAGACCAGCCTGGCCAACATGGTGAAACCCCTCTACTAAAAATACAAAAAAACTAGCCAGGCCTGGTGGCACGAGCCTGTAATCCCAGCTATTTGGGTGACTGAGGCAGGAGAATCACTTGAACCCGGGAAGCAGAGGTTGCAGTGAGCTGAGATCGTGCCACTGCACTCCAGCTTAGGCATGCAGCCTAGGCAACAGGGTGAGACTCTCTCTCAAAAAAAAAAAAAAAAAAAAAAAAGGAACTTATTCTCCTGTTAACCCTATGTTAGTCTTCTTCCAGAACTCTAGTGATGGGGTCACCACCCATCCACAACCTCCAGTCACCTCCAAGACACCTCTGACGCCTCCACTTTCCTTCACTTTCACAGTCAACCCAACACCAAGCTCACTGACTTCATTTCCTAAATCCCGCTCGAATCCATCCAGTTTTCTCCGTATCCACTGTCACCACCGTCAGTTTAAAACATCGACCACCTAGTTTGGATTCCTTACAGTCTCCCAACTCGGCTTGAGCCCTGGCAACCAGTTCCCACTGCACTGCGGTCACTACACCCGTCAGGACCCTCCTCATCTTAAATAAAACTGCCCTGAGATTAAGGATCTACACCCTCACCAGGCCAAAAGGCCCTTCCCACCTGTCCAGTTTCTCCTTCATGCCTAGGCCACACTGGCCATTCGGCTTTTGAAATACAGTACTCTTGTCCTTGGTTTAGGAAAAGCCAGATCAATGCCTAGCGCATTCTTCTGATTACCTCCCAAACTAAGCCAGGTCTCCCAACCCTCCCGCAATTTACTGAGCCTAACACTGAATGCTTCTACAGTCCAGTTTATCTTTCCTTTAAAACATTCATTACAATTACAGTTTCGTGATGATCTTAGTACTACTGCTCTCCATCACTATACCGTAAACTCTACGAAGCAAGGAACAAAATCGACTTATTCATTACTGTGTTGTGCCTGGCACAATAAATAGTAGTCGATTTTCCAGATTTTTCTCTCCTCCCTCTACTTTTCTTAGACTTAGGCCTTTCACAACACGTACTTAAAACTGAGACTTCTCAGTAAGAGAACTTGGTTTACTTCGTTCAAGTCTTAAGCCACGGAGCCTACTAAATGATAAATGAGAAAATAAATCCCAGTCACTTAGCGACCTTCCCCCATAAGGTCTCCTCCCGCAGCAGCAGGCAGCAAGAACAACGCATTTCTTCAGGCTTCCCTGCGCAGGCGCCCTTCGCCTGCCTTGTTCTGCCCCAGAGGTGCCAGGCAGTAAGGG